AAACTTTAGAAGTTAATCTCTGCCTTGCCAGAATCTCTGAAATTTACACAATATCATTAAGTTGAGCCATTAGGGACTGTCAACATTTGATAATTTTTCACCTATTAAAAATGCATATGGCTTTAGTATACATATTCTTATTCTGGTTTCTATTGACCTTGATTAGACCTTAAATTAATCTTAATTTTTTTTTCTCAGCTCTCTTAAGTGGCACACAATTTTGATGGCTAAGTGTTTATGTGACTTCAATTTTTAGCAGCAGAAGAGTCTCAAAGGTGAATCAATTTTCTAAAGAATGTGTAATTCTCAACTCATTTCAAAGTTGAATACTAGCACAGCAAAAGGATATAGATCTGAAAGTGGGAAAATCTAAGCCCAGAGGAAACTTCTAGCTCTTACAAACCTCATTTTCACTTCCGTAGTTAAAACTTTTGCATCAAGAAGATGCTGCAGAAATTTCCATTGGTAGAAATAAAAGCCCAGTGAACATGGTGGAGGCTCCAGCAAAGCAGTGATCACACAGTGGGTGCAAACTAAGGTTCCCCTGGCCAAACCTTCCTTTTCCCAGCCAAGAGTCCTCTACTGTCCTCTAGAATTGGTAGATGCCACAGATGAGTGAAAAAGAAAAGGAACAGAAAAACAGCAGCACAGTGACTAACCCAAAACATTTGGAAACCTCAGAAAGGATTCTTTTCAAGTTTGTGGTGTAGTTTTAGGATCTGTTATGTGGTGACCACCACAGAGGGTGACCTAGAAGTTGAAATGGCTTGGCTTGGGAGCATGATGAGTATGTCCAGGCCCAGCAGGCAGAGTGGGCAGCAATTCCTTAAGTCCAAACAGTTCTTCACTAGAGACATGTTCTTTCAGTCTTACTCTTCACCAGTGGCTTGTGATTAGATCCGGTAGTTAATGTGTAGTCTTTGAATGAAAAAGCAACTAGGTATTTGGAGCGGGTTCCCCCCCTTCTCTCTCTCTCTCTCTCTCTCTCTCTCTCTCTCTCTCTCTTTCTCTCTCTCTCTTCCCTCCCTCCCTCAATATATGTGTCATTTATAGCTCTATATTTTCTATTTATTGCAAAGTACTTTGTGATGCATGCATACAATAAGTTCATTTCACTGGTCATCCTAATTTGGGATCTTTTCTTAGGCTTACAGTCACTGATTTTCTGAAAACCCTTGTCTTCTCCTGAAAACCCTTGTCTTTTCCTCGCTTTCTAGCTATAGATATTATACCTTGTAGAGGACATTTTGCATTAAGTTTATATTGCTTACATAATATACAAATGAAATGTCCTTGTTAAAACAAATAGTAAAATGTTACAGATCAAACTAAAAATTCTTTTGATTTTGTAGCATTTTGGATCTTTCTCTTGGGGTATGTGAAAGTTAAATTTTTTTTTTTTTTTTTTTTTTTGTCTATTTTTCTTTTTCTCGGTACCGGGGATCGAACTCACGACTGCCTGCTTGCAAGGCAGGCGCTTATGCCTCTGAGCTAAATCCCCAGCCTTGAAACTTAATTTTCTAAAAAAAACCTACTAAGATCTATGTGTAAAAATGTACAATGGTACTTCAGTACTCATTAATTGGTTCTCAGGAATAAGACAAATAGCAAAAATATTGAGTTCCAAGCAATTGCTTTGTACGGTAGATCCCATGGAGAATGAAACCTGTAGGTTCTAGCTTGCATTTGAGTACCAAACAGATGATGAGTAGGGACACAATTTTCCCATCCAAATGTATTGAATATCAGACTAAGAGTTTTAAAGCAGTCAAGTACCAAAAGATGACTCTATTTTTACAGATTCCATTCATAAAGTAGAATTATGTAATACATCAAGAATCTTAAATATTGACAGCTTCTATGAAACCAGAATCTAAAGTACTGCTTCATATTTCTAAGACATCAATTTTAAAATGCATATTTAATATTTTAGACAGTGAATTAAAAAAAAAGTATAGTTGTCTCTATATATCAGAACATAAAGTTGTATATTTTACTTTAGAATTGTGTTTTTCACCTTTCTTCCTATAGTGTAAACTGGATAGGAAGTGTTTGCTTTAGGAAATTGGAATTATTGAATAATGAGTTTTTACTGTATAATAAGCACTGCCCCATATGCTCTCACATGATTCAAGTAATCATCACTGTAACTGTGTGAGACCAGCAGCATCTACATCCTCAGATATAGGAAAGAGAAACCCAGGATTAGACTGGAGAGTTGGATTGCTTGGCTTTATGTAGCTAATGAGGATTGGTCAAAGACCAAACTCAGAGCTTCCGCCTGACAAATTTACTTAGTTCCTCCTATTCCTTCTTAGAATGATAATGCCCCGATTTTAACTAGTCCCTGCTTTTGAAGTGGCAATTGTAAGAGAATCTACACTTTCTTGTGCTTATCGTTGCTGCTATGGGGTATACTTGAGATGCAAGTGAGAAAAAACTGTGACTACTTTACTTTGTCATGTGAGAAGGAATGGCCAAGACTCAGCATCCCATAATGATCCTTTGTCTCTCTTTGCTTCATGTAGCCCAATATTCATCAGCCATGTGACCTTTGCAAATCACCTACGATTTTCCTACTTAACTCTTGGTCTGAAAATACCACCATAACATTTCCCACAAATCAAGGCACCAAGACACTGCTTCAGAAGAAGCAGTCTTTATCTTTAGAAGTGATTGTATTTAGAAAGCTGCAGAACAAAGGGGCATATTGTTAAGAGTTGAGAAGTGTGTAGGAAGCTGTGGCCTGGGCTCCCAAGATAGAGGACCACATTACAAGCACTACCTCTCCTAACTAACTTGAGCAGGGTGATGTCTACTTCAGGTCCCAGCAGCAGACAGAAAACTGAGCTCTCCTGTTCCTTGCTAAAGCCACCCCACTCTTTAGGTCTGAGGCCCATTGAGGTAAAGCCACAAGGTACTTGTTTGGATTCTGTCTGTTCCTGGGTCAGGAAATGACCCAGAACTTTCTTTCAGTGCTTAGGTCTCTTTGTGGTGTATGAAAAGGAGGAGGTTATGGGAGTTCCCAGAAAGGCTTTGATGTCATTTGCTGCAGGAGTTCAGAGCTTTGAGTTTGGTGCTTGGTTTCCGTAAGATGTGTTTCATGTCTAGCCTGCACCCAACTGGGGACAGAGGACTTCATATTGGAAACTGTAACCTATGGGTCTGGATGTTTCTTATGAAGGAATATTTATTACTTCAAAGAGGAGAAATGAAAAAAAATGGGGAGCAGACACTGTAAAAAGTGTGGCTAGACTTTCCCTCAAAGGAGGAGAGGAAGAAGGGAGAGTTGTGTAGCCTTGACCACTGTAAATCATAAAATCACCCTAATTAAGCCAGCAGTGCAAATGGACACTCCATAAACACACTGCCAAGACTCAGGAAACACCAGGTTGTAGATGAGAAAGAATTTTCATTAAAATAGAAAACATGTTTTACGCTCCCTTTCCCCACTTTAGAGGAAGGCTCTGCCATTAAATGTTTTGCTTTCACACTGAGAATAAATTTCCTGGGGCCACACCACCCTTCCACCCTGATAAAAAGCCAGAAAAATGTGCTTGGGACTTTGTGAGGTCAAGATTCTTATCAGAAATCACAGATATAAAGAAAAAACTTTAAGAAATAAGTGAATCACAGATGTAGCACAGGGGAAAGTTGAGGACAATTCTCAAAAGAAACTGGGAATAATGTTAAGCTCTAAGAAATCAAACCAAAGTAAATTATCATGTTATATAAGCACAGTATGGACATAAACACTGGACCTTTAGCAGTGGCTAGGAGAAAGGCTGTATTTTATTCTTGAACTTTATGATTTTTTCTCTATTAAAATATTCCCAGAGACAGAGTTTTCATGGTCTATTCTGAATGTCTGATGTAGTATGATCGGTCTAACCATCCAAGAGTATTCCTTACAAATGGAATTTTTCTGCGTCTTGGCTTGTTTTCCATCTGGGATAGGATATATAAGCTTGGGGCACCAGAAAAACTGCATAAAAATAACAGTTTTTTAGGGTTCAATTTCAGAAGAAATAAACACTATAGTAGCCCCTCTGCCATGGTATAATTCACGTGTTAAGTGAGAAATTCTGAGAAAATTAGGGGCAGGTGTAAATATGGAAGTGGAGAACAATAACTAATTGCAGCAGTTCAGAACTTCAGAACAATTTCATCTGTTCACTTACATACTGGCTCAACAGTCATATTGTTCACTTCTCTGTCTAGTAAAAATGATATGTTGACTGGCTATGTGGAGGCCAGCTGTGTTCTCTGAGTGAGCTTTCTGAAAAAAATTTGAAGAAAGATATGTACAAGTTCAAAAAAGAAAAATAAAAGCAGTAACAGTGAACTAACTAGTTTCAGAAAAAAAAGGTAACATAATAGTTGAAAGTCATCTTTTTGATTTGTGAACTGTGGAGGGAGAGAGCCACACCTCACCAGGAGGTGAGCCCCACCTGGAAGGCATATTATTTGCATTGTTTCCTTGGGTTGGGTTTTATTCTCCTTTATTTTGTTTGATTATGTTAAATATGAGAGCATGAGCAGCTATTTGAAAGACAGCAAGATATATTATGGTAGCCACTTTGGATTTACTACTATTTTATTTTGAAGCCCTTTATTGCATTTTTTTTATTGTTTGTATTCTGTTCTGTTCTATTGGATTTATACTATGTGTCTGCAACTATTTTGAATACAACAAAAGGCATTATGGTAACTACTGATGATTTCATAAGGTTTTGAAGTCCTATATCATTTATACTGGGTTTTTTAATTGGTTTTATCCTGTTTTATTTTCCTTGGTTTTATCCTCTTTAAAATTAAAAAAAAAAAATAAAAAAGTCATTTTCCTTCCCTCTTGGTGTGACCGTGAATACTTTTCTATGCCTATTCCATATTTTTCCCATTTGTTAATGGCAGAGCTCTCTGAGAAGAGTAGACATACTGTGGCACATGCTTTTGATTGTTTATGAAAATAACTCATACATATATGTACTTATGCCTAGGTGTGTTTTAAGAGACCAGGCGTTGCCACAGCAGTTTTCATTTTCTTGACATCTGATGGCCTGGTCGCTGGGAAGCATCAGCGGCCAACATTGACTGTCTACTTGACTGATGTCAGTGGAAGCAACCACTCTCTTGGTGAGTCTGAGAATAATGCCTTGAGAACTACTAGAGAACAATCCAATAGATCTCGGTCAGTTTGATATCTATTTCTGATATTGCTTGGGATCCTTTTTATACTACACAACTATCAAGAAAATGAAATAACACTTAATGTAGAAACATGGTGCTAGATGAATAGTTTAAAATATTAATCCATATCTTCACTTCTTTTCAGGAACTTATGAGCTGTCATGTCAGCATAACCCACTGGTTATCAATGTGATCCCCGATGCAAATGTCCTTGCCCACCGTACCACCTCTGTGCTGCTGAACTTCTCATCCCATTTGGTGGGCATCTCAGCGGTGGCCTTAAGGACATCCTCCCACATCAGTCTTTCAGCTCCCAATAGCTGCATTCCAGAGCCTGAGGGGCCAAAGCATCAGGGACAGAGGTAGAAAGTCCCCTTTCTTTTCTTCCCTTTTATTATAGCTGGAATGTAGTGCTGTTATTTAAATGTAATATTTATTGTGATTGCTTCATCAGTCATTGAAAAATGAACTTAGGACCTACTAAAAGTCCTAGGAAGCAAGCGAAGAATAACTTGTGAAAGGCAGACTGGGTTTTATAGTTCTGCTCTTTTTTTTTTTTTTTTTTTTTTTTTTTTTTTTTTTTTTTTTTTGCTGAGAATAATTTTTGTGTAAAGACCTAACATCTTTACAAGGTCTTAACATCTTTTTTGCATATAAAACCACTGTCTTCAAATCAACATTGTTTTATAAACTGCCAAAAATTCTTTGCCAAAAATTCAGTGTTCCCTCTGAAATGTATATTTTTTTCACTTGTTCCCACCTGGACAGTGTAAACAGCAAGTTTACCAATTACTGCTAAGACATGTCACAAAATCACTTAGGGTTATATATGGAGATAGACAATGTATTAGCTACATGTGTTTTTTTTTTTTTTTTCCTGGACATCTGTGGTTGTCATCATCTAGAGAGATGAGAGTAACATTAGAATCAGGTAGTATAGGAAATATATTTTACTGTATTGGTGTGCCCATGATCAGGGATGAGGAACATTCCACACACAACAATCTGTACTACAATTGTGGGGGAATCTTCTGTCAGTGGTCTAATTTGGTAAGTGGAACCAAAGCTAACAAAGTTCACTCCACAGAGGGAGGGAGCTGAGATCACTTCTTCATTACTAGGTGATCAGGATTCTAATCACAAAAGCTGAAGTTCCAGGAAGAATTCCACTGCTACCATGTTTATCAGACACCCAGCCCCCCAAAAATTGGAAGCACAGAGTACTAGTGTAATATATGTTATGTATTTCTGTGGGCCAAATTAAACCGAATTTTAGTGGCTTAATATCACCAATATTATGTTACGTTGCAGTTTCTTTGGATGAGGAATCTAGATGCAGCTCAGCTGGGTGCCTCTGGCTTAGGTTTCTTATGAGGTTGCAGTCAAGCCATTGGTCACAGATGCATTTACTAAGACTTGATGGAAGTTGGAGAGTTCACTTCCATGCTTTCTTGTGTGACTATTGGCAGCTTCACAAATCCATGTGCAAGGTCACTCCCACAGGTGTTGCCAGTGGACATGCTCACAAAGGCATGGCTCAATTCCTTAACACATGGGTCTTCCCTTTATATTGAATGTCTTAGACATGGCAGTTAATGAAACAAAAGAGTAAGTGAGACAGAGAGAGTACATTGGGTACATGATACAGTGCCCAAAAAGGAAGTCAATCTTCTTATAACCACAATGTTGGAAATGACAGCCCATTAATCATCTGCCTGTTCATTAGAAATGAGTCAATAAATCCAGCCAGTACTCAAGGGAAGGGGTTTGCATAAGGACACATATTACTGGGGATCGTCTTAGAAGCTATCTACCACACATAGTAATAATAGTTCATGTTCATTATGCACCAACTATGTGCCAGGTATACCATGGTATAAGTGCCAGGTAAAGATAAGAGCAAGGGATAGAGTCTGGACACTGTACATTGGGACATTAGCTACTTCATCAACAACTTACAAATTTTATTATTGAGAAAATACCTCCAAACTAACACAAGAATGTAGGCTGATAGAATAGCATTCTTTATTACAATTACTGTTTTTCCCCCATGTATTTTCAAATTATGTCTTCTACTAGTTCTCTGGCCTTAAGCCATACAGAGTTTCTTTCAGGTCCCTGAAACATGTGTTCTTGATGAGCTTTGCACATAATGTTCCTACTTTCTTGAATGCCTTCCAGTCCTTCACTTCAACTCATGCTCCACCGGCAGGGCTCACCTTCTGTGAAGTTTTGGCAAACTGTCTCACTGTTTCCATAGTAAACAATGCATAACCCAAATTCTACCAAAGTCACTACACATTGGATGGTAACTGTTTATTTAATTCTTGTTTTTTCCTATTAAACTTTGAGCTCCCTGTAGTGGGAGTTCTGTTCAGTATCTCTCAGTACCTAGGAGAGGTTCTGGCCCATAGTAAATACCAGGAATTGTGTGTTAAAGGACTTTATCTTTAATAGCTCCTTGGAACAGAACTAAAGAATCAAATGACCAAAGTTGAAGTAGCACGCTCTTTAAACTTGAATTTCCCATCGTAGCTGTGAAGCTTCAACAAAGAAGTTGATTAATTATGGTCACTGCTGGTAGTTCTTCACTTATGTTCATGTGGCATTTGGGAAAAAACAAGTTTTATATGCATGCATGCAAACCAATGGAAATAGGATATGATTCTCCAGTTTACATAAAGTGTATCTGGAATGCATAAGCATTTCCAAACCACATGTGACTGACAGGAACCATGCAAATTGCCTTTTCTCTCCCAGCCAGAAGATCAGTATAATATAGGACAATTTTATATACAAGAAATTTAAGAGCTCTCATGTATCTTTGTCATGAATATACTTAAAATCTTAATCCTTTTGCACTTTTAAAAATAGAAGTCTTTCTGTGGCTTTATGTCAATCAGTAGTATATGTAGATGTATCATTAGTATGAAACTCTCAAATTCTGGGCATGGTGAGAGAGATTTCTGGCTACCTCCTTCTAACTCCGTATGACTTGAATTCCATTAATACTTGCATGGGCAAGGGAGAGTTGACAGATGCTTGGCAGTAGAAGATGTTACCCATTTTATGTTTAACTATTAATGATCATTGGCCTGTTCCACTTACAAGGCTACATCTTTAACCAAGCTGGTTGGTCCAAAAGTATCTCAGCTCAAAGCCAATAAACCTAAGTGTTGCTCTGTAGTGATAATCATTATCTTTGCATTGCTCAAAGTCATTTCTTCCTGCTTTTCTCCTGAAAACCAAAAATACAGGGGAAAAAATGTATCAAAACCAAAAGCCAGGTCTGGCCTCAAGTGCCTGTGAGAATGTCCTCTTGATTGCAAAAAATGTGTTTTGGAGTTGAATTAAGAAATACCACTGGAAATCAGAGCATATACTTGTTATGTTCTAAAAAATATCAACTAAGGAATGAAACCATAATTAAAGAAATGAGATCATTCTTTATTCAGTGAGCCCTTCGGCTTTTTTTAGGTGATCAATGATGTTATTAATTTAGATTGGAATTCTAGATCAAAGACGAGTTCAAGGAGAAGACCAATATTTCACTGTTGGATCACTTTCACTTAGTATGCCTACCAGGCATCCAAGCCAGAAAACCTACTAGAGAGTTGTCTATGTGATTCTGTTCTGAGACATAACCTGAGTTGGATATAATTGAGAATTGGGTCTTAAAATAGATTTTTCAGGGGTTTAGAAGAAAGAAAGAAAGTAGGAAAGATGGAAGGAAGGACTTGGAGGAAGGCAAGAAGGAAGGAAGGAGGAAAGGAAGGAAGAAAGAAATGAAGAGAAGTAGGTAAGAGGGAGGGAGGAAGGAAGGAAGGAAGAAAAGAAAAGGAAAAAGAGAGGGAAGAAGACTCTTCGCTAAGATCTCTTAAGTCTTGTTTCCTATCTATCTCTTAGTCTTGTTTCTTCTTCTGATATGTTGGCTATTCAGGTTATGGTCCCCTGCTCATGAGTCTTAGTCTTGAACAGCAAATTTTTATTCCTGTTTTTGTCCATCAGTACTCAACATAAGCTCAAGTTGTTCCTACTCTCCAACTGCTTTCCCAGCTTTGTCCACTCTAGGGAACAACCCGGTACAACCTCAAGGCAGACCTCTAACTACCCTAGAATTTTTTTTTTTTGTTAACTTTAGGGAGTAGAGATCATCTTTTGTGTCAGTGCTATGGGATTTGGAGTGCATCTGAAGAATTTAGATAATAACATGTTAATTTGCCTAAGTGAGTAGAGTAGCTTGCAGAAAATCAGGACTCTACTCTTAATCTGCTTTGGAAATTCACAGGGTCAAATCTACAAGAATTTCCTAATAGATAAAAGTTACTGATGGGCACACAGTTTCTCCTACAATGGGATTTTGTTCTTCCCATCATAGTAATAAATTGATCGTAACTCCTTTAACCCCACCTGATGGCATATTCATAGGATCCTCAATACTGAATATCTGGAAATGAAGGACATTATCTCCTTTCTAAGTCATTGGGTGATGCCCATGTTTGAAATTTCTGACCATTCATCTCTTAACAGCACGTATGATTTCTTTTCTTATGTCCTTAGGTTTCTCTCTCTACCTGTTCAATAAGAGATGAGAATGTGGTGTAAACTTTCCAAACAATTGCACTTCTTTCCATTTTTTGTTGTATTTCAAATAGTTCTTGATTTTTCTAATTTAATGTTACCTAGGTGTATAATTATTGGTGACTGCTTGGTCTTTATTGGAATTACATCTCTCGCCAATTATTTTGCCTCTATAAACAGTTTTGACTTTGAATTCTACTCTGTCTTGAATTACCATTTCCATCCCTGGTTTTTCACTTTGTTTGTATTTGTTTGATGAATATTTACCTTTCTTTTGTTTTCAACCTTTTTCACTCTTCACTGCCAATGCTCTCGGGGCAAATTGTTTCACTCCACTGTTTACAAAGACAGTTATACTGTGTCAAGCTACTCTGAGACTATAGTGAAGACTTATCTCATGAACTTTAAAATTTCTTGCATCCTTTAGAACCTATAGCATTTCTGCCTTTAAGATGTTTATCTCCCATGCCTTGACCAGTGGTTCTACAATCCCACTCACTCACCTTACCTCACTAAGACCCTTCTACTTCCTGATAGGGTACCTCACAATGAGTAAAGAGAGGGTGATGTCGATACAAATAATTGATACAGAACATTTCTCTGGCCAATCAAAAGCAGTGCTCAGTTTTCTGGTCTTTACAGATGACATGGAAGAAAGATGATTTGTTTACTGCTTTCACTTATAAAGAGAATGTGAGGAAAAGAAGAAACAACTGCTTGTCACTTTCCTTTAGTACAGTTCCATTCTTTTTTTCTTTAGAAAATAATATGAACATGCTTT